GAGGAAAAAAAAAAAAAAAAAAGAAGGAAAACAACAACAATGAAATAAATGAATGAAGTTATGTATCACGGGATTTTAAGGAAAACGGTTTCAAATTCAGCATAGTTCAAGACTGGAAAAAATTGTCACTTGCAATGTGTAGAAAGGCACTTAGGCAAGTGAAAAATTTATGGCATTTTATTACTTGGAGAGAGTCTGGTGATGGCAGAAAAAGTATAGCAGAAACCGAAACTTTTTAAGCTTTTTATTCCCGTTAACCGCAGGTAAAATTACGAAAACTCGCCTGCAGCCGGTCCGTTCATTGTCATTTGATATTGAACTGTCTATGTTCAATGCTTTTACCGCTCGGCCACTAGTGGTCTTGCAGTTATGAAAACTTGTAACTCGATTAATTTTGCTAATTACAATTATTGTGAAATAGATTACTGCTTTAATTATTTCTTTATTACATCTTATCTATGCTAAACATTCAGTCCGTAGTCAGCGTATTTATTACCATATAAAGAGTATACTGTTAATGTCACTCTCAAATAACTACAGTGTGCGACATCTTACCCTAATGAAATGGTTTCTAAAATTATTTTTATTCTGATCGAATTCGAATCGATCGAGTGATTCTGATCGAAGCTTGAATAGCTGTTAGTTCTCTTTTAACTTTTCAATGTAAGTTACTGTGTACTGACTGCCAAAATATGCATCTTTCGCTTGTTATCTCTTCATTTATTATTTTATACCTTTGATGCATCAGTCGATAAGCTGGCGATTTTCCAGATTTTCAAAACTGTGTATTTAAAGTTTTGAAAGTTGCTAAATCTTACCAAATCTCGTCATTTTTTACAGTTTTCTAAGTACATAATGGATAAGCATACATAGAATATTAGCAGCTAATTCTTTTACTATTATGCATTTCTAGATGAATAGACTGATATATATATATATATTTCAGAAAACTGAGATTTCAAAGTTGGAAAATCTTCCTTAATAATGAGAAATTTCAGAAGTGGTTGAAAACTTCTGTTCAGTTTGTAGAGACATTAGGATTTTTTGGAAGCAGGAGTCATGAAAAATGAGCAACGCCTTCACCGGGAATCGAGCCGCGGAACTCTGGATACGCGCCCAGCATGCAGGTCACTACACTACGAAGGCATGCAAAGAAGGTGGGAGAAATACCTTATAAGTTCATAACAAGACAGTGATAGTTTTCGAGCATCTAATTACGCTAGTTTTTGTCATCTACAATTGGAGAAACATCAAGCTGTAATAACCCACGCAAATTTACATTAATAATAATGGGAAACTTTTGCTGTTAATTGTGAAGTATCGAGATTTGTGTTACGCAAATTCACTTTCAGTGTAATATAATTGATTCTTGTTAGCAATATATGGGTTATCCAGCTGAAAAATATATTCAGGTTGTCATGTAACTGTGATGAACAAAACGATGAGGTTCGCAGTATATGTGAATCGCTTAGTTGGAGACACGGGTTAGATACGACTATTAAAGAAAAGTAAACGACTTGTATCCTTGAAGGTAATGTACGTTTAATATATATATTGGTTGAATCAGTGTTTCTTAATTTTTTTTATTTGTAGTCTTCTTGAAAGGCAGTTTCCGTAAATGTAACATTTACAGTAGTATAATATTTGTAATAAATACAGTTACTGTCCTTTAAAAACTTATGAGTTGTATCTGTGAGTAAACTGTTTGATAACGGTATTAAAAATGGAAGAACTAAGGTAAATAAATAGTGTATAGGCTATATTAAATTCTTAAAAGATAAGATTAGTTCAAGCGAATATAGCAGAGATTAAGGAAAAACTGCATTACAATTGCTACATCAATTCATTTATAAAAGAAAAAGGTAACATATTTTGAAGTAGATTCTGGATTATCTAACATAAAAGAACCGAAGGATAGTCTCTAACTGAGAATGTCGGATAATCCGAAACTACTAAAGTTCGAGATATAAAATAGATCCGATAAACTAAATAGTTGAGGATTATTCATTAGCATCAATCACATGTTGAAAGCACGAGATAGAATGCTAACAGTAGCATGAAGCTTTTGTTGAGGAATTGCAGCAACGTGGCGTATTATGCTTGTCTTTAATTCAGGGAGAGTCCGTATGCTTTCTCCACAGATACGAATTTTCAGAAATCCCTACGACCAGAAGTCCCAGGGACGCAAGTTAGGAGAACGAGAAGACTAGCTGTTCGGAAAATTTTTCGAAATTAACTGATCATCTCCAATGCGAGCACAAAGCACTTCTTTTAGTCGTCGACTGATACTATAATATATAATATGGTTACTATACTATCTTTCATGAGGACATTCTCGCTTTTGTGAGGAAGAAATGACTTGCTTCTGCGGAAATTCGTACTTAATCTCACTCATGACAGTATATCTTTTAGGGTCTTGACTATTCTCTTCAAATAAAAGAGACCATAGATGAAGTCAGCAGTGAAGACATAATAACGTAATCAGAATGCAAAGGCTGTTCATACAAAACGCTAGAGTGCCCCATATTCGACAATTCTGAGCATTCACTGCTCGATTCAGGGCAAAATGTCTTCATCTGACCACAAAATGTTCCAAGTCCATGTACTATCAACGGCTGTTCTCTCAAAAACCGGTAAGCAAAATCAGTGCGTTATTACGGATATTAAAGTTTCAGGTTTTGCGACATGCAGATCTTATATGAATATCATTTTAAAACGAATTGCAGAACATTTCGGAACCATGGGACAGGCAGATGTGACATAACGGGTTTGGTTTGTTTTAGTTGATTATGGCAAAGCACACTAAAGCTATCTGCCTAAGCGAAGTGATGCCTTCGTGGACGACGTTCTAAGTGAAACTGGCTCGTATACACGTTACACATGGGAAAAACCCCGACAACGCCCATGAAGCCCTGGAATGGAGACATATTGGAAGCAACATTCTCTGTCAATCACAGCAACAGTGACTTCTTCAAGAATTTCATGTGAAATCTGTTTCCTTTCTCTTTCTGCTACACAATATCCCAGTCTCATTTAATAATCTTTTACAAATCATGATTCGACAAAGGCACTTTTTGGAAGGCTTTGAAACGTCGAAATTCTTGCAGTGCATTTAAACTATTAATGCAGTTGTGATAAAAAAAAACTTGACCAGTAAAGTTGAATATTTCTTTAAGGCATTGTCTACTACTATGTCAAAGAGTTATTAAGTTGCATAACGTTCCTTCTACATAGCATAAAGTGAACCATTTGTAGTTCCAAATTGAACTATTATTTTTATTACAGTTTTATTTAACTACGGTCCATATAACGTTCATTTCAAGTTTGAATGAAATAGTCAATCAGAACGGATTTTACATAGAATTGAATAAGGTTTCTTTAATTATAATCACTCTGCGCATCTAGAAATTGAAATTATGAATATTATTTACAATAAAAAATAATAGTTTTTCATGTCTTTATACATAATTGTATTAAGTTTGACATTAAGAAATGTAATCAGTAAGTAAAGAAGCAAAGTTTTAAAATGTATCATAACATTCTTAATTCATACAATTTAGAATCATTTACAAATATAGTTTTCATTCATTTGTTAAAACTGATATACTGAATAACATGAAAAGATAATGTTATTGAGATCTAAATAAATAATTAAGCAGTAGAATATAATATCGGCGTCCAAAAATACTTTCAAATAATTATGAAATTAAGAATCGAGGAGGAAAGGGATACAAGGAAATAAAACCTCCTAGGTATATTAAACTAAAAGCTGAATATTGATCTTACTTATTAATTCATGTAAACACTTCAAAGGTTTTCCCAAACCATTAAAATTAAAAACAACATTAATATTTAAAGTACTTCCCGTTTTACTTCCTGAAATTTTTTTATTCACGGAGATAAATGTTTTCAAATCTTTAAGAGCGAATAATTGCGCTGAATCTGCGCTAGTAATTTCAGCACAGAATGTTTTCAAGTTTCCTAATCTAGTCTAATATAAAAGTAATCCTAGCCTTCTACATAAAGTTCAGCCTTTAAAAATGAAGATGGATATTTTTCTAAACTAACTCATTGATGAAGAAGAATAGAAAAATGTCCTTTTTTGGGGGCTTAAATGCTTTAGTAATAAAACTATAAACTTAATTATGTGTAACCACCTGATGAGTGAAAACGAAATTTTTTATATTTTTAATGACATTTTGATGAATTATTCTGATTAACTATCGCTGTAAAGATTTTTTTCGCTAGTATGAAACAAGTGCAGATACATATTTTTGGGAGAGATGGTGGAAAACAATTTGTGTTTGAGAGTTGCCTGATGCATAAATGAAAAAGTTTAACATTTTAGCATTATTCGTTTGCTTAAACGGATAGATTGCGCTCGAAATGAGTGTAATTTTGTTTAATTGGTAGTAAAGCACATTAGACATCTAAGAAACATTTATGCTATTTTTACCGCACCGTCATATATTATTATAGAATATAGAGTCATGTATTATGTGGAATAATAACATAACACAGAATGTAAGACCATAAAGATTTTCCTTTTATAGTTTTCCTTTTATTACTTTATTAAAGGAAGTTGCTGAGATATACAAATGTTGTCTTTACACGTACACTTTAATAAATTTTAGAATGTGCCACAGGTTATTGATCTAAGCCTTATGCTTTCAAACCATGTCATAAATTTTGCTACCTGTGATAAATCTGACAAATATTTATATAAATTTCACATGTTCGCCTTTATCAAATATAGCGATGATTTCATGAAAAACTGTTTCTATTTCGCATTCTTAGCCTCAAATGTAAAATCAGGCAATGGTTTTTATTTCCTACTTAAAGATTTTCTGACCATATAGCGAAACGAGTCATAATATTTATCCTTTGCACCACTGATATTTTCATATTATCAAATTTAAGCTGGAGTCAGATTTTAAGCATGAAAAAATAAAATTATTTAATAGTAAATGAAACAAAATCGAAAAATATAATAAACTAACTTCTGTTGTAACTTCAGGGTCCATAGCATTGGCTTTCTGATTTATAAGTCCATGGATAAAGGAGTCCACTATTCCTGGTTTATAAAGATTGTAGGGCTGCCGGAGGACAGTTGAAACTCGTATGGAATCTGAGAAGAAATAATAATATTATTGACATAAATACATAAAACAACAGAGAATTAAATTAATTTTCCTTTTTAATTATTTAAAATTACTTAAAAAATAATGTTAGAGGTGACAAGACGATCACGATGATTATTTTATTACAAAAATTTATTTTCCAAGTTTGATGCCATTTATTACAAGTATTATTTTAAATGGATATCATCTTACGTACTGATGTTCGATTTTGCATGATCGGATGAGGCGCTGCAAACTTATTGCACGAAACATGAATATACTAGGCAACAAGAAAGGAAGACACTAATATCAATGGCATATTTCTGCTCTTACATTAGAGATGATTCCTAAACTACTGGCCTCATCATTACGCTAGTAGAGTACCAGAATGAAAAACGTTCTGTAACTTTGTATCTCAACCACATGAAACAGAAGCAAACGCTTTGCTTCATTTCGTATGTAAACTGGTGTGTAAAATTCAAGCAACAATGTAAAAATTTAGCAGATAGCCATGAAATTGCAGAAAAATGAAGAATATAAGTTATTACCAATTAAAATCAAAAGTTTGCTTTTACATTTGCTTTGAATATCTTTACTCGTTTACACACATATCTATGTAAATTTCCAGGGCAGGTAAGTAACAGAGAAATGTAATACAAGTTAGGGAAGGCAAATGGAACATAACGATATTACCAATATATGGTACAGAATTATGAGTTGAGGTAAGGAATGTAGGTTAAATATACAGGAATCGTACACAGTATTTGCATGCAAAGTCAATTGCAACAGGAATATGGAAAGGCTTGGCTGTGTTTATGGAAACTAGAAAGCATTAATTAACATTTAACTCTTGAAAATATGTAGATGTAAATTGCAGTTTAAATTAATATATAATTAAAATTGTATAGATAAGAGTATGCAATTCAAATAACGAGCTATTTGCAATATTTGAAAGGTATAATGCAACGTACAAACAGCATGACTTTATGTTGTCTGTAATCAACAATAAAGTACGACTGACGTTTCTATGAGACATGGACAAATTAAAAATAAATTTCAACAGAAAAATGTAATATAAGTGAGGGGAATTTAGTACGGGGAGGGAGACGGGTTACACAATGGCAACAAATACAGGACAAGTTCAGACATTTACAGGATAAGCAAAGATAGTTTTGCCCTAAAAATGGATTGATAAGGGGTACACGTATGACATTTCATGCATACAGAGCAACATGCTGTAGAATTGATTTGAACAATAACTAAACAGAATTGTTTAATTAGTTACAACATTTTATTACGAGTCATGAAACATATAGCTACAAGAAAAACAATATCATTAAAACAGCTGCCTAGATATACGTACATATACTATTCAGTTGCAGTTACAATCAACGTCACAATCCTCCCGCATTTTGACTAATAATACGCAATTATTAATCAAAATATGCCATACAGTTCTCAGTTCAAAATAATAGTTTCAATTTCAAAATCTAGGGGTAACTTTACAGTCCTTCCACTTTTTGTCAAGACAGAAAGAAAACCAAAGGTGGAGTCTATCAACTAGCGGTTCTTTTGGCCGCCTTATATACTCGTAGTTATATTATCCAGCCTTCAGATAGTGTTCGGAGGGGCGCCACTCCCTCTGATCAACTCACGGGGACTTTACATGTTGCCATCATCCATCGTCGAGCCTTGACCCCCCCTGGACAGCCCTTTAATCTACATGCAACGTCCCCGCGACCAAGGTCACAGACAAGACAGTATCAGTATGATACCTGCCAAGCCTGAACCTACACCGAATATACGATGGTTCTAATCTATATGAAGACTGATTATTTACCCAGAGAAACGAAGATGTCTAGACACAAGTCCAGCCTGTGGTCTGGAAGAACCCCGGGTCTCCTCCCATTAAATGGTCGGTTCCGGCAATTCCTACCAGTCGATCCCAAGGAATAGTTGTCCAGCATCATTAGCCTACGTCAGCCGACGCCGACATAGTTTCCAGCGGGCGACTTGTCACGACAGTTTTTTTGGTTCGTTGGTGAGGCAAGAGGAAACTGATCAGGCAAGGAAAGTTTCCCTTCTTCATTCGGATCCTCTTCAACTGATGCAGATATTTCCAATGGGAAATTTTTCTGACTGAGTCGTAAAGTCCCTCCATAAGCTATTCGGACTCGAACTATTCTGGATTTGGCTTAAAGAAACTACACTTTACTTGCTCTTCATTTTCACTTTTCAATCGAACTACGGCTGCGTATGAAAACTTTCAGACATCAGTGAAAGTGTGAAGGTTGTACTACGACGGAGCATCCTCTAATGTTACCTGTCTAGGAATCTTGACCGAAGATAATAAAGTACACCGTTCACTTATTTAAAAACTTTTTCTTCAATAGAATCTGGCAGTTCAGCATCCCAGTTCAGTTTTTCCTTTTCTCAGGAGTAAGTGTAACTTTGAAGAACGATGAAAGGGCACTTAATTCTTAGTGGGTCGAATGTCTTATGCACTACACATAGCAAAATCCGGCTGGTCACTGGGAGCTCTCCTAATCCTGGGTCACTGACGCTTTCGAAAATCACAATGTAGATCTTGTTGTTTAGCCTGTAAGGATTATGTTAATTTTATTAACAGTTAAATTTTAAGTTAAAGTTCCTTTCCTGTCAAATTCTTAACTTCAACTTACTACTTCCGGTCAGAACGTAGTGTTTTAATCATTCTGAACACTTAACGAGGAGGAGCGGTATTTAAACCGCGAAGTTACTTGCAGAGTTAGAGAAAATCAGAGTTTCTGATTTGCGCGCGTCTGCCTTTTGGCTACTCTCTCTCTCTCAAAGCTATTATTACGCTCGGCCGTACTCAGGCCCTTGATAAAGCTTCGTAGTGAAACAGAGTTAAGGGGCCAACTCGTTTAGAATCTTGATAGCTTTGGTTATATCTCTTTAGTTAATCTTAGTTTTAGTTTAATTTTTAGTCTCTTAAGTTCAAGCCCAAGTGTCGGCTTTTATTGTACACTCCAAGACGGAGTTTTGTTAATCTTATTGGAATAATAAAGGGTTAGTTACCCTTCCATCTTGTTGTTTCTTGTTACACGAACTTAAGCGATTATTCGCTAACTAGTAGTTCTTAAGATTCGTCACTTTCTACAGTAACTAAGAAATACACTAGTGAGAATCTTACAAGCCTACAAAGTACTATTACTTTTAAATGCTCAGATTCATTATACGTCATTTTCGTTTCTGTTTTTTGCAATCCTCTTAAATCGAAATGTGCATTTGCCATGATTTCATTTGCCTATTGAATAAAAGAATGGGCATCATCCTCAGAATCGGGCGAAGGAAGGGGAGGTGGCAAATTAAAGCAAAGCAAAGTGATACTGTAGGAAATAGGAGGCAGCAAAGAACTTGAGAAGTTCCTTCTACTCATCATTAATCTCCAGTCATAAAAATGAACCATTTCTGCAATCTTTTTGATTTGCGATGAGAAATGAATATGATACACTATCAACAAGCGGTCACACAATGGCTTTTGCCGATGAATCCTACTTCCTACACTGAAAATGCCAGGAAGCTTGCTCTGTAGACCATGGATAACATCATGCACACCGAGATCTTTCCTCCATAAAGAATGGGTATTAAATCGATAAACTGAATGTATGAATAGTTTTTATATATGAAGCCGTGATTCCAGCAAACCATACATCATCAAAATGGCCCAAGATACAACTATCGGTTTGGAACAGGAATTGCTCTTGTAACCATTTTAAGTTTTAAGAAATCTCTCTAACGAATTAAGCACTTGTTTTGAGCTCCGAAAACCAACATCTGTAAGATATATATCTGTGATGATTCAGAGATAAAACGAAGGTAGCCAGAGTTTTCTACTCTAAATATAGGACAAAGACTTTATGTATGAGCTTGTAATCGCATTGGAAAAAAGTTATTCAATGGTGGTTGTTTTGTAGGATGAATATATTCTTGCCTACATGTATTTGCTTCGATATTTTATTCTTAGCGATAAAATGTTTTATATTACGTGATAGGGAGCAATCGAGCCATCACCTGCTAAAAACTGTGCAACTGTCAGCATTTTCATGATTCGCAAGTGAGTTCTTTATCTTGGGCTGACAGCTACGATGATGAGTATTAGATGTAGGGTTATATTTTTGATACAGGATGCTAGCGAGCGTATTGTTACGAAGATTGTGATACCAGACACGTTATAAGGGGCTAGGTAACTGCTAGTTTAGAGATTATACAAGATGGCAAAAATGAAACTACCCCGGAAAAGTGTTTTCAAAATTTCGTAAAAACTTACTCTAAACAAAACAATAAATAAATAAATAAATAAATAAATAAATAAATAAATAAAATAAATAAAATAAAATAAATACAAAATAAAAATTGGAACACATGCTGTTTAGTAATTAGTTGAATGCAAGTGAATGCAAGATAAAATCGTGCTAACGGGGAAATACAATGTGCTCATTTTTGAGTGTTACACTAAGCACATTTCGTGAAAAACGTGTACTGAGCTGTCTGCACAAGTGTTGTACTTATTTCAGTCGAAACACTTCTTGCAAAATATGCAACAGAAAACTTAGTGAAAAGTCATCTGTTATCAATAAACGAATTAATTTATTTTAAATTAATTCTTAGGAAGAAAATTGTTTCGGTTTACAAACGTTTCAGGTGAAGAACAATCTTTAGGAATAAGTTAAACTCGTGAATTTAGGTTTAATTGCATCAGCAAATCTAAATTCATTTTGATCTGCACATATATCCCCGCGATATCTAGGTGTCAATAAACAACGCTTGCTGAGTTTTGGAATTATAGCTGAATAGTGAGTGCCGCACGTTTCGGGATCAGTAAGAAGTAAAGTAATTAAAAATTCTATTCTAATTAAAAAAGTGTTTTCGAATTTGCTGTTTGAACTTGTGCCTTGTCATCATCAACAGTGCAAGAAAATAACAAGGGCATTTTATGGTAATTTGCCTGCATTACAGGAGTTTT